ACAAAGAACCTTCTTAATACATGTGTAATACTTTACAATACTATAAAAGTACATTGGTTAACAATTAACAAGTAAAAACCATTTCTTTAAAAAGTACTTAAAAGGTTTTTTTTAACTAACTTGGGAATGATAAAGCCATGCAAATCTCAGGAATAAAAACTGAATTTTATAAATGTGGGGCCACCACTGAGAAAGGCCTACTGTACTCGCCTGGGTCAACATGTCACATTCCAAATGATGAAAGACATCTCTCAAAACAAACAGACTTCTTCCAAACTCTCGCCAGAAAACCTTTCAAATACTAATTCCGAATTGAGCTGTGGGAAGTCTGCCCAAGACTAATGAGTCCTAGTCCATCATTTGGTGGATTAAATCTGAATACATTTGCATGTGAATAGCTATGAAGAAAATACTTCCTTTACTTTTTGAGAATTCCCATACAAGTTTCTAGGCAGCATTTCAGGGGAAAAAAGGCCCTTCCTGAGTGTGAGACAATGAATATCTTTTGTGTTAGCACCTGGTACCAGTAACTTCAAATTAAATTTACATTACTGTAAAGCAACCCTATTTTTCAGAATCTTGCTAATAATTAATTTTATTAATTTTAGCTACCGAATAAACAATGTTATTGTTCTTTTATTATGTCTTTGTATGCATTTAAAGTTATGAATTTTTTGTACTATAGATCTTTTTTTGAGCTGCTGTTTTAAGACAGCTTAGTCAATTGTGTGTGTGTGTGCATGTTTGTGTGTGCAAGGTTATCTACAAAACTGAAACTGTATCTGTATTTCACTGATATGGAAATAAGATATTTAAAGGAACTAGATTCAGTGGAACTGAATTGCATCTGGATTGCACCACAAATCATGTTATTAAATTAAGGACTACTTCAGACTGTACTCTAAATGAAACAAATTCTCTGTTCCCTTACCGAACATTTCTTCAAATTCTTACCACACCATTGAGGTACCCATGCAGCTGGTTCTATCTATGTGGTACTGCTACATTTAAAGAATCAACAACATTTAATTATTACAATTCTCATTACTCAAACTCTAAAATTACTGCATATGCAGCAAGGCAAGAATCACAGTGTTGCATCATCATGCTTATAAAAGTCCCTCTGATTTCACCATTGTTCTCAAATGTGTAACTGGAAAATGAAAATGGTGGTTGATTTTAATCCAGTATTTGATAAGCATGCTTACCTATTCAGAAAAGAGGACAAATTAAGGCGGAGTCGAACATTTCATGGCAAGCACTTTATAAACTTGTATAACATGCTATTAACATTCTGTACATGTCCAACAGCCCTAAAGATGGCTTAGCTCTGTTACATTTATATATATCTTGAATCTAAATAGTATTTCATGTTGTCAAAAATGAATGACGCTAAACAGCATTGTATGTTATTAAAAAAAAGTCTGGAGTGTCTAAAGACAATTACCTCTGTTGTATTTTATTTATTATTTTATTATTTTATTATCATTCCAGCTTTAATTCTTATTTTATTTTATTTTATTTTATTTCACTGTGATATATAATACTGTTTTCTGTTACAATGTTAGGATCTAGACAAACGCCTAAGATAGGATATGAATAAAAAACTTCTCCAAAGCAATTACTTTTATCAAGCCTGCTGTGAACTGAATCTGTTCTAATCTAATTTAAAACATAGCTGGTTATGTTCATCTCTTTATTCCTATTATTTTAAAGCAAATAATTTCTTGATCAAGTACAATTAGCAGAGGAGAATCAAAAATCAGATTTGATAAATTACATATATTACCAAAGTTAATGTATAGCTGTCTTTCCTGTACAAACAGATAATGCATTTTTACGCAGCCCTTTCTAAGTCTTTTCCTATATAATAAGTTTCTTTATGACAGGGACTTAATATGGCAGAAAACTATCATTCCTAAGAAAGAATAGTCTTTATTCTGATTACAAAATATTTTAAAATATCCTAATAAATGCTTCTGTAAAAATATTTGGGAAATACAGTAATGTTCCCAAAAATATTCCCAGTTCCTATTCTCATGGCTAGGGAATGATGCTATAATGGAAATCCTGGCCCCCCTGTAAAAAGTAAACTGTCATGAAAATTACCTCTGGAAAACATCTAATTAATCAGCAATGTACTATCACTGGAGGCTGGCTGGAATAAGACTGTTATTTAGTTTTATTTGTAATTGCTTACCTGATAATTACTATATTTTGTGTTTTTTAATAGACCCACTTAAGAGTTTTGCAATCCAGCTACAGAAAGGCTTGTATAAGGAGAGCATAAAAATATCTGGAAAAATTGTTGTCCTTAGTTTCAACATGACAATATGCTCCCTGGGCTCTTAGATACTAAGCATCGCAAATATATAAAGGCTTCCTAATAACCTGTCAGTCTTGGCTCAACAATAATTCCGGGGCCACACTTCATGTTATGTAGCTGCTGTGTAAGGATTAAGTATATTTCTTGTGGCTGATTTAGGTTTACCAGACATCCAGGAGTAAGTGTGGCTGATTTCAATGGCTTGTACAGCTAATGTAATTTGCTGAATTTACAGTATATATAATTTATATTATATCTACATTGTATATATAATATACAGTAAATCTAACAATTCTAATCTATTTAATTTAGATTTCTAATCTAGAAATCTATCTATCTTATTAGACTTGCAGTATAAATCTAAACAATGAAACTTTCAATTGCACATCTTATGGAAGATTATCAGTGAGTAAGACAAGCATTTCTGAGTGTGCAAGCAATTTACAAAAGGCTATCTCACAAAGTGAAAATTAAATTCTGGAAATCTTAGTATGCAGCCAAATTTTAATTTAAGAATATAACCTCATGCCATGACTTAAATGCTATTTCTGTTGAAATCAATTAACTCTACAGTTAATGGCTTTCTAATATATGCTGTTTTCTTGGAATTATCTGATGTGGAAGGGCTTACCAAACCAAAACTTTATATATCTAGGCCCTAAGCCAAAAGAAATGGATTCAGATTAAAATGTGATCCTCTTAATCTCATATGTTAAACAATAGTATTCTCATTGTAAGCATCAATACCTTCCTTTTTAAATCTTCAGAGGGAAAAGGTAGAGAAGGCGAAGTAAATGTAGAGGTTTTAGTCTCCAAAAGAGTTGCCAGGGTGGTGTTTCTTTTCTTTAGCCAAGAACTATTTTGCTTGGCTTGCTATAGTTTGGTTTGACGGGAGAAAAAACACAGCAACAACTTGCCAACTGCCTAAGATTTAATAAATTAAGCTGCAGATGCTATTGCTTTTTGGCACATCATGATCCCTGTTCACCACACAACATAGGAACCAGAGGTTTACTTTGGCTGTTGTAGTCAATGCTTTTGGCTAATATATGCTCTTTGAGCCAACCAAGGGTATGTTTAGAGAGTGTGGTTTTAGCTGAGGTGTTAAAAAGGCTTGGGTTGGCTACCTAGCCAACATTTGCACTGAGGGAAAGATGTGACCATTCATGTCTACCCAAACAGGACATGAAACCTAATGGCAGGAAAACATTTCCCTTTACCCCATATGGCAGCATGACAGGAACTTCAAAGGTGCCCACTGGCTTCCTTCCAAGTCAGCCCTAAGCATTATAAACCAGTGATGACAATACAAGATGCTAGGTCAGTCTTTCACTTCAATACAGAACCATCCAATTGTGCTGGTGTGTTAACAAATGTGCATTTGGATGAGAATTCTACAATTTGCAATTCATACCAAACTGGGATGGGGAGCCTTAGCTTCATATCTAGGTTCTTTGCTCATGTTTGCCTCACTCAGGAATTTGATTTTTACAAAAACCTACATATTTTCCAAACTAACATAAGGATCAGAACATGGCTATCAGTTCTCTGAATGCTGCAATGTATTTCTTAACTCAAACAGCAGTATTTATTTAAGTGGCCACCCAACTTGTGAGCCGTGGCGGCGCAGCAGTTAGAGTGTAGTACTGCAGGCCACTTTAGCTGACTGTGTTCAGCAGGTCAGCAGTTCAAATCTCACTGGCTCAAGGTTGACTCAGCCTTCCATCCTTCCGAGGTAGGTAAAATGAGGACCCAGATTGTTGGGGGCAATGTAAATATATATATACATTGCTTACTGGTGTACACTGCTTAGAAAGTGCTTGCACTTAAAGCAGTATATAAGTATATAAGTCTCATAAATAAATAAACTTGTAAAACACCATTCTGAATGGTTCATAAATAGAAAATCAAAGATAGTAAAAACCAGGTGCATGAGTTATAGTCCCCAGTAGTAAAACATTAGTTTGATTCACTTCCAAATGCATGTTTCTTTGACACATTTAAATCTGAAGGTTTATGAAGATCTTTTTAAAAATTGCAGATGAATCAGGAAACTGATGGATAATGACAGTGACAGTGAAAATCCATAATGGCAAATATAAATATATTTTTCCCATAATCTAAAAGCCTAGGATCTACTTGATAGGAATGACTCATACAGAAAAGCTCAAAACAGCTAATACTGTAGATACTCAAAGCCAAGAGAATCAAACCTTTTGATATTGGAAACAAGATTGATGTCATTTTATCAGCCTTTGGATAACCAGGGCTGTAGTTAACATTTTGTATATGGGACACAGTGGGGCAAGTAGCTAGGGGTAAAGTTTCCTGTTTTTTTTCTCTTTTGTTAGGATTTATAGCATATTTTCTGAACTTTTCCTATCTTAAAGTAGTAAGATGTATGTCATCAGTTTCAGTAACTAGAGTTAGAGATAGTCCCGAAGATGCACATATTGCAAATGTTACTGTTACCTGCCTAGATTAAATCAGCCAGTGCCACAAATGTGCAGAGAAACAGACAAAAATATTATGTTGTCTTACTGCCATTAAATATTTTTCTCACCCAGTTTTCAATATCAGCATAAGTTGATGGCTAAACATCCTATTCCTAAAGTCCTTGGTAAAAAAAATGATAGGCAAATAGAACAATATAAGTAAGTGTTCAACATCTTACCATTTTAGCTTCTGAATGCATTGGAGCAACTTGAGGTGAAGCACATGGATTACTGAGATTTGGACTTTGCATTCCCATGATATTTGAGTTCATAGACATTTGTCTTTCCATCTTGAGAAGCGAACAGAGAGAAGAAATGAATTTTGGCATGTGGAAATCTAAAGATCAAAGATAACTATAATTTTCAAATGATATGTTGTTTTTTAAATAAGCAAGAGCCAAGCTATTGGTAAACATAAGAGTAATTCTACAGGAAAAGTCTTATCTAATTCAGTGTTTTGTTCCATTAATGGTAATAAACTACATCTGGGAAGTTGAAAGCTTCTTATATAATATAGTGTCCAATCAGACTGGTACTATTTTTGTTGATTCCCTTTATCACAGGAAATAAAACATATATATTTTTAGTTGTCTCCTAATTGAAAGAAATTTATCTTTTCACTAAAAGTACAAATCACCCAGGTTTGAGATTTTGTTAATAATAATTTGCTTTTATTTTTGAAAATAACCTAGGTTAAGTTAAGTAGGTCTAAAATACCACTACATGAAATTATGGTTAATGCTATTTAAATTGTCTGGAATATTTGAAAAGTGAGACTTTCTATAAATTAATTGTTAAATTTGGTAGGGATAAAAGCTCCAAGTTCCTATGTTAAATTCAGAAGGTAAAGCTAAAACGATGTTCCTGCATCTGCAATGCAGATCTTCGTAGATTTCATTGTATGTGTATATGCATGCACGCAAGTGTATATATGTATGTAATATACACACAGGCACATATACACACAATGCAGAGAACAAAGTCAATAATATTGAATCCTGGAAGAATCAGAATAAAAAGCATGTGTGTTTGTGTGTGGGCACACATACATAAATACATATACATATATGAACATTCACACATTCCTATAGCACATAATTCAACTTTAGGATTTGCTACCATAAGAAGTGCTAGCTATCAACTTCAAAAGGTGGCTTAAAAAGGATATTGCACCAACTCAAGGGAATCTATGGTTATTAGTTCTGATGGCAGTTAGAGTGCCTCTGAAGGCCTCAGCTGGGTGACTAGTCTGGCCATTGTAAGAAGACACTGCTAGACCGGATGGGCCAGGGGTCCAATCCAGATACATTGCTTATATGTTTATGCTAATTGTGCTCTTACACTGTTTGTTACTTTTGAAACTATACATGCAGAAAAGAAAAGAAAAATACTTACAGGCATCAAGACAGCGGAGGATCCAGGCATTGTAGGATTAGGTAAAGTCCCAGGCATAGAAGCAGGCATGGGTTGTCGTTGACGATTGTGCAGGTGTAGCAGTGAAGATAAGGAGCCTGGGACAGGCCTATAAAAGAGGAACACAGAAGAAAGGATTAAATATAAAACTTCAGAACAAAAGAACTGCACATTCAATGATTCCTATTTCAAAATTATGAATATAAAGTTAACATGTTACATAACAATACTCAAATGATTAAGCTCCCGAATAAAGAATATCTAGTCTAATACCAGAAGAATTCTCTTCCTCCCCATACCAACTTTTTGGCAATATTACATGTGAAATGAGGAGCACTGCTGGATAAACAAGATATGATCCAAAAGGAATGGGAATTCCTATAGGGAAGATACAGAACCACCTATCAGAAAGCTGTTGATATAGAAACCTGCCCTCTCTTCTGCTTAATTCCCTAAAATGCTATTTGTCTTATTGAGAAGAGCTGTTTAGGAGATTGTTGTGGGATGATTGGGTGAAATAATCCTTTCAATCTAGCCAAGGAGACTAAGTGGGTCTCAATCCCATAATTCCAAGACATTTTCAACTTCAGAAGATTTGTTTTAATATTTTGATGCAAAAGTGAGGATTAATACACAACAAATCAGAATCTGTTAACTAACTAAAACATCTGTGAAATCAACAAAGAACTTAGAACAAAGGGTTTAAAAGGTACATATATTATATCAGTGTAAATAAATGTATGAAGCTTGTTGTCCTTTGCCTATTTAAAGTAGTCATATTCTAGTCTGCCATCCTGATCAATCCAAATATCTTGGAATGAATATGTGCTCTTAACTACATGTTCATAATAGCAATTAGTTTTTGAAATATTTTCTTATGTTCAATTAATTATGAAAGAGAAAGAAGGACTACTGATTTCCTTGTATATAGCCATATTTCTTTTTACAATATCTAGATTCTCCAGTTTTCTAAACATAGTCAATACCTACAACACATTATTCTTTCTCAAAAGCAAATGTGTTATTTTCTCAAACTGGCAACCCATAGCTTTAATTGGTAAATATTAATTAATTAATAAAAAAGTGCAAAATTATGGCATTGGAATTGATGGCACTGGCTTTAACAATTCCTACCTTAAAAAATTAATTGTGCAGAAAGGAAAAGAAGACTTAAATAGTTAATTTACTTTTCTTGATCACTAAGTACAACAAATAAAAAACATATAAAAAAGTCTTTGCATACATTATTCTGAGCTTCTATTGTGCCAATTAACTACAGGAATAGGGCTGTTTTCTTTCATCACTAATATTTGAGATTTTGTGCATATTAGGCAGAAAGATATGTTGTGGACACTTGTCAATCAAATAATTCCAACTAGTGGGGTCCAGGAAGAAAGCCTTCTCTGCCCCTGTCCTAGGGATCATTCTCTTCTTGGAGGTGAATTGGATCCCAACTCTCCTGGCCTTCCAGGAAGCTATGAAAACTTGGGTCTGCGGCCATACTTGAGATGCACATTTTAGTGGCCTTAAAGCCTTCCCCTAGTTTTTAACGTTGCTTGCCTCTTTCTAAATTTTATATACCATTTAATGTTTTTAATATTTTGTTTGTACACCATGCAGAGTCTTTCTTTGTGAAGAAAATGGTTGGTTTTAAATTTTGGTAAATAAATATACACATAAATATTATACTTCTTGGTATGGGAGGCATGATTTTCAAGTTGACTTGCAAAGTAAGTAGCCTTCTGGATTGAGTTAAAGCTCACAGCCAGGCCTCCTTTCGGTATTGTTTTTTTAATAGAAACTTTAGTTTTATTGGTTATATTAAGGCATTTGACAAAAAGTTGCTTTGGCTTGACTTGTGCTCAGATAGGCCTTAGGTCTCCCTAGTATTGCAATTTTACTTAAATGTTTCAGAGCTAAATGTTCTACAAATTTGATTTGAGACTGAAAGCAGTCCCTTATATAAGGGAAATTATTTATACCAAAAATGTTTATACTGAAAAGGTACCGTATTTTCCCGAATATAACCCCTAACCAGAAAATAAGTCCTAATGAGTCTTTTGGAGCAAAAATTAATATAAGACCTAGTCTTATTTTTGGGAAAACACAGTATATGCTAAAAATAGTAATTTAACTACTGCATTGTCTTCATTTTGAGTTCAAATTTCGCAAGTCTGTGTTTTGTACTCGAGGAAAGACTGGCTTTGCTGTTATTGTTTTTTTTTTTCTTTCTTTCTTTGTAGGACATTGGGACTTTTCAAATGTTTCTTAGATGAAAAAAATTACACTTTTGAATGTCATGAGTCATTTTTGTCAATACTCCAATAATACAAAGAAATATCATGCACAGTCTTTCATTGGTTGCTTATGATCATAAAGATCCATATATCTTATAGTGTCAAATACAATATGTCTGACATTAAATACATCTAATATCTAGAAAATGGGCACTAATAAACACAAACTGTACCTCTATAAACTCTGAAGTCATCTCCAGAAATTTCCACAAGTTTTCCTACCAAATAAACTTCAGCAGATGGTTACAAGCCTTAAGTTCTATGGAGCATCTTTTCCACTTCTTAGTCTTTCCAAGATGTTTTAAATGTGACCAAATGTTTAACTAAAAACAGGCATAAATATCATGTGCCAATCAGTTCCCACTTCAGCTGACAGAAACAGGAGAGTGGAAGAATCATTATGAAATTAGCGTTTTGCCTGCTAAGCTCTAGCAATTTCTGATGTAATAAAGTTCCATTAACTACTCTTACAGAAAACAAATATATCCCTCTCTATGGACCGCCCTACGTTTGAAAAAAAACCAACAACCTTGAGCTACTGCTGTAAAGGAAAAATTGCCCTGACTATCAAAACATTATCTCTTCCACATATACATTTTCAGACAAGACTGTGACATCATATTTTGCAACCCCCTTTTCCAAGCAACGGAAAGTTTGCAATGTAAACTTGCATGAATGGGGGAGGACTGCAATGGTTCATTTGGGCCTTCAAAATGAGATTCAGTAAAAGTTAGTTTTACAGTACTACTATTACTGTGTCGGGAGCACTGAAGTGCTGAAACAGTGACGTGGCTGTTGCCCAGGAACACCCAGTTGAGGGCTCCTTTCATGTCCCCATTAATTGCTCACCGAAATGATATTCACAATCACCCACTTTTGAACTGCTGGGTCTGATGATATAAACAAGGAAATTCAAGCTGAGTAGTTATTTAGAAGAATTCTACAACTCTAAAGAAACTAGCTGGAAGCATTTAAAATAGTTTGCCATTTATCAACAGATACCTAGTGATGACTAAATCAGCAATAAAAAAAAACAACCCTTCTGGCTTTGCAGACTGGCTAGGGGAGGTGAGGAGGCAGAGGAGAAGGAATAGTTCTGTGTGGAATTTTCTTTATTCATACTGTTAGTTTTTTTATAGATAGATACAATATAGTTAATAACACTAAAAATATGAACCCTGGGAATATTCATATCTAAAATAAAATGAACACCAAGGTATTAATTAAAACTATAAAAGTTTAATTTAAAAACGCCAAGCTTTCGCCGTCACCTGCCGGCATCATCAGGGCTGGGCTGCCAGGGTGTGAGAGAGTCATTTTATAGGCAGGTCAAAGTCTGCACTCGGCTCCTCGATCTCGTCACCGGGCCCAATTGGTTAGATTGTAGCGGCATTAGAACCCGCTTTACATCATATTAAAGCAGGGGAGGAAGCCAGGAACCATATCAGGCAACAAGTCATGGGCCTCATAATGAATCATAGACACTACCAAACATTATCTGGGAGTGAAAGAGAAGCCCTGATACAACTTAAAAAAGATGACACTATTGTCATATTCCCAGCAGATAAGGGAAGGGCAACTGTTGTCATGGACAAAGTGGTGTATATTAACAAGGCGCTGGAATTGCTCAATGACAGTGCTGCATATAAAATAGTGAGTAAAGACCCCTCCACCACTTTGAGGAATCGCATTAATAAGCTTCTTGATGACTTAAAACACAATGGGAGGATGGGGGAAGATGTGTTGAGAAGGTTGCGCCCTGGCGATTCAGCCCTTACCAGGTTTTACGGCTTACCCAAGATACACAAATCCAACGTCCCCCTCCATCCTATTGTTGCATTTAGGGGCACGCCCACCTCTGAACTGGCCAAGTGGCTGAGCGTACGCATCAGCCACTTGGCCAGTAATAGCAACACCACCGTGAGATTGGCAGACGAGTTCCTCAATAGGATTAGAGCCCTGAGGGTGGAGGAAGACGAACTCATGGTGTCTTTCAATGTAGTCTCCTTATTCACTTCTATTCCGCAAAATCTTGCGATCTCAGTATTAAGAGACCGATTGAATCAAGGGGAACAGGAACATCAGGACTCCCTCCAGACGGAAGACCTCATAAAACTGGTGGGAGTCTGTTTAAAGACCTACTTCACCTTTCAGGGCACTATATTCGAGCAGATCAAGGGAACACCAATGGGGTCTCCGATCTCAAGTGTAATTGCAGAGGTGGTGCTCCAACGTTTGGAACACATAGCGATGGCCCAGTATCAACCAAAATTTTGGGCCCGCTATGTGGATGATACGTTTGTAGTCATCAAGAAGCAACACAAGACTGACTTTATGGGCATTTTGAATTTGGTATACCCGGACATCCAGTTCACCATGGAAGAGGAAAATCAGGGCGCATTAGCATTTCTGGACGTATTGGTGCAACGCCAACTGGATGGATCTTTGACTACCAGGGTATACCGAAAAGCAACTTGCACAGATAGGGTCCTCCATTTTGAGAGCAACCATCCGATAGCCCATAAAGTCAGTTGTGTTAAAACTTTATTCAAACGGGTGGAGTCACATTGCAGCACTGTCAAAGCTAAGAGGGAGGAAAGAAACCACCTCTTCCAAGTGTGTAAGCGCAATGGGTACCTGGTAGGATTCATTAATCGGTTTAGTATACCATCTGAACCCTGGAGTAACCCCACACCTAACGAGTTGACACCACAGACAACACGTATTGCCCTCCCCTACATCTGTAATGTATCAGAGGCTACGGCGAGAATTTTGGCGCCATATAATATACAAGTAGCACATAGACCCAGCC